ATATGGAGCTCTGGTAGCGTAGTGGTTATGAATTGGGCTGCAAACCTTAAGAACAGCAGTTTGAAACTACCAGCTGTTCCATGGGAGAAAGATGAGTCTTTCTGCTCCCATAAAGACCATAAAGATTCACAGCTTCGGAAACCCTGTACAAGGTTGCTATGGGTCAGAACTGACTCCACAGCTCATCACCACCACCACCATATCTATCTATCTATCTATCTATCTATCTATCTATCTATCTATCTATCTATCTCTATTTATCTATCTGTATATATCTATATTTAAAATGCAGTCCAGCGCATTAACCCATAGCACCACACTATATTTAAATATAGATATATACAGATAGATAGATAGATAGAGAGATAGATACATCATTCTGTTATTTCTGTTATTCATGGGTTCTCTATGAGTCAGAACTGACTTGATAGCCCAAAAACAACATATATATATATATATATAGTTGTGGTGTGGTGCTATAGGATAAGCATTGGAGTGCTAGCCATAAGGTTGACAGTTCAAACCCACAATGTCACTTAATAACAACTATGTTAGTGTTGTCAAGTGTCATCTAGTTGGTTATGACTCATAGTGACCCTGTATAGGGTTTCTGAGGAGTTGCTGGACAGTTTCAACTGCTGACCTTGCAGTTCAAAATGAACTTGCAGTCCAGCGCATTAACCCATAGTACCACACTATATATATGAGGGGACTACAAAAGTTGATGGGAAAATTTCATATCTTTCCATTTAATTTTTACACAAAATTTTTGAAGTTTCCTGATATGTCATATGCATATATTTATATATAATATTTATGTGTATATTTGTGTGTGTGTGTGTATCAAAGTTGAGTAATTAACCCCTATATGCCCATCACTCACCTTCAACAACTACCACTTTATGGCCAATCTCATTTATATTCTTTCTTATTTCACCCTTCACCTATCAACTTGACTGGTTTATTTTAAAAAAAATTGGAAGAATGCTTTATGAAATCATGTTTGAAATAAGTTATGGAGCTTCGAAAACTAATTTTGTAAGCAAAAAAGTTTTACTTTAAAGCATAATCTGCATGAACTGAAGTTTATGTTAAAGTGGGTATCTATTTGTCCAGAAGGAATGGGGAGTATCTTCTGTTGTTTTTATTTACATTATTATTAGAGTTATGTTTGTTAGTGCTGATAGAAACAGTCACATTGGTATAACTTATTTGAAAAATATAGGTAAGTTAAAATCCTCCCTATGCATTTCCAACTTGAATTTTCACAAAGACTATACAGATACTTCATATACTTTATCTAGACATTTAAAACAATTGCTTGGCATGCCATTGCACAGTATCCATTTTATTTGAAAAATCTAAGAAGAAAACATTAGAATACAGTTTAGGTAAGCAGGCAAAAAATTGTGACAAGAAAATCACTACTATATTCATTTATTTTAATTACAAATTGGAAAATATGTATATTTAAATGGTCATCATTCTAGAACAACCCTCAATACCATTAACTTTTATTAGCATTTTAAATTTATGCAAGTATAATAAGGATCTTGTTATAACCCCTATCACTAAGCATAGAGCAAGTGGGCTACTTCTTAACTTCCTCAAATTATGGGCACTTCTACTTTTGTTATTTGGAGTGTTTTGTAAAAGTCACACCTATTCTGTTTTTCAAACAGTAGTGATAATAGTTAAATCTAATAAGAACTTCCATTTATATCATTTGAAATCTTTAGATAGCATAGTATACTTTTATTATAGTTACATGTACAATGTTAAGCAGAGGTGAAACTATTGCTCATACACAAAAAGAATAAAAACAATGTAAGTACTAGCGCTCATAAAAATACTAACATTTTCTATTTAGTGAAATAGTATCAATTTA